TTGTAGTTACTAATGCAATTTTCTCCTGGAAGGGAATTCGATTTCGTTTCTTTTCTTTTAATTTTAATAACGATTTAGAACGGCCGATGATCCAAGGATATTTTCGATCACGTTTATCGGATCACATGCGATTTTCTTGCGGAAAGAAGAGATTTTGCATATCCTTATTTTTATTGGGATATGTATAGGATGATCTGTTTTCATCTGTGTTGTGGAGAAGATCGGTTCTTGTGTACGTGTCCCACGTTTGATGATTTCTGTCTATTTTTTAGTTTCGATTTTTTAGTTTCTGAGTATTGAGAAGAGACGAGACTGATAATTTTTTGGTTGTATGTATTATTAATACATGTACAGGGTGTCCTAGAAATATGTAATACTTTCGATTAACACGTAAATATATATATGTTAATTTGTCAAGTAATATTCTGCAAATGCAGAACCACAAATTGAATATGGATTATCCTTTTGGTAAAATTTATGAAAAGAATTATAGCTGAGATGAAAAACGACTTTTTTACGACTAGTTCTTTTTATTCGTCCATGAAGAAATTGAAAACACACTTGTCTGTTTTTACACTTGAATAAACTTACACTTCTTCTCGTACAGAATGTTTCACGTTTAAATAAAAAAATCTTCAAGATTATTAATAATATCGAAGATATTTGAAACAGAAATTAAATAACATTATTGAATGATGTTCTATTTTTTTTTATGATATTCTCTTTCAAGTAAAAAATTTTTATACTTAAATTATAAAACATATGAAAAATTTAAAATAGGCTAATTCCAAGTATTTCTGACTCATACGCCTGCATATGTATGTTTCTAAATAACTAAGAATATTACTGAAACGATAAATAGTACGATAAATTTTTTTTTTTTAAATGGAGATTTAAGTACTTTGTGTCTCGTATGTAAAGCAATGTACTGTATTTATGTAGAATAATTCAAGGACATTATTCATATACATTTCTATGCATACAAGTGATGATTCTAATTTTATTTTATTCGATTCTTATTTTTACTTTTTACGCACTTTTTACGTACATAATTGAAAACGAATTAATTGAAAATTGAAATATTAAATATTATACGAATTATTATTTTTATCAATTCTAGGACACTCTGTAATTACACTGTACTCTGTTACATAATTCTCATGATGAATTAAAAATGAAAAAAATCCTTGACTTTCAATCTAACTCTATCCGATCACAGGTTTATTCGATTATTATCTTTGATCAGGTTTTTCTTTCCCCTATAATTCATTTTCGGAAATTTGATTCGCCAGCAACATATGGTTACAAGTTATCATACACTGTCATTTTTTTAAAATTCTTCGTCTCACTCGTCGGCCGTTGATATATTTAACAAAAATCCGCAAAACTTCGATAAAAATTTTCCTCGAACGGCACTAAAATATAAAATGATTCTTTCATATTCATGATTCGATGTTCATTACGGTGGTGGTATACGCGAGTTACCAGCCTCGACCTACTAACCCACCTACTCCTCATATCGACACCTTGCAAAAGTATATACGATCACACACGACACGCAGAAGAAGCATATCACACACGTTTGTATCACACAACAGACGCTACTAGTTCAAAAATTTAGTATCACTTCTAATATTTAAAAAGATTCTCTTCCATTCTCTATCGATACGTTTTATCTTTCATTTTTGTACATATATTTCTTTCGTCGATTCGTTCGTCAATGCTCGATACATTGGATGATCTTATCTTTCCATTGTATTCTCAATTTTTAATTGTTTTAAATTAATTGTGAAAGATATTAGCCATCAATCGTCGAAATTATCTCTTTTTATTGTACAGTTAAACACACGTCAATTTAAAACGTATATATGAAAAGAATATTTTCTTATTAAAAAAATTTTATTATTATTTTACACAATAAATAGATATAATCTCTTCCCGAACGAATAAGTGAGATCAAACTTTTGAACGATAATATTATACATTTGTATCCTATCTGTGTTACGTACACATACAAAAAAAAAACGAACACACTCTCTTATCCTTGGGCGCTAATGGACAAAAAAGAAAAAAAAAAAAAAAAAAAAAACGTTCGTCGATTGGCTTAACAAATTTTATTCTGTGATTTGCATTACAGTTGTTGTGCGATAAGGCACATAGAGCATAAAATGCCTGAGTGTAGCAGTGAATAATACTGCCTACAATAGGGTGCCCCGGTCGGGAGATTCTATCCAGCAGTAGAATGTGTATGTAAACTAATTCGGATATATCTAATAATGTATCATATTTATTATTGTAACACTAGTTCAAATATTTTTTCTGTTGATTGCGGTATACGGGTCTCGTTAAAGGTGTCCGAGGCAAGCGAATGAAAATTGGGAGTCATTCGCGCGGTTCCAAATATTTTTTAAAACCGTCCTTGAAATTCTTAAACATTTTTTTTTTTTTT